GCCTCCCAAAGTGCTGGGATTACAGGCTTGAGCCACCTCGCCCGGCCAATTTTTGTATTTTTAGTAGAGACAGGTTTCACCATGTTGGTCAGGCTGGTCTCGAACTCTTGACCTCAGGTGATCCGCCTACCTCAACCTCCCAAAGTGCTGAGATTACAGGCTTGAGCCACTGTGCCCTGCCTTCAGTTACTTTTTAGTCAAATGTAACTGCTTTTGGTGCTATATTGAAGGAAAGATCACTCTAGCTATTAGTTTGGTGCAAAAATAATCACAGTTTTAGGCTGGATGTGATGGCTCAAGCCTGTAATTCCAGCAGTTTGGGAGGCCAGGGTAGACAGATCACTTGAGGTCAGGAGTTGGAGGCCAGCCTGGCCAACGTGACGAAAGCCCGTCTCTACTAAAAATACAAAAATTAAAAAGTAATAGCAAAACCGCGATGATTATTTTTTGAGATGAAGTCTTGTTGCCTAGGCTGGAGTGCAGTGGCACCATCACAGCTCAGTGCAACCTTCACCTCCCAGGTTCAAGCAGTACTCCCTGCCTCAGCCTCCCGAGTAGCTGGGATTACAGGTGCCCACCACCACGCCAAGCTAATTTTTGTAGTTTTAGTAGAGACTGGGTTTTGTCATGTTGGCCAGGCTGGTCTCCCAGCTCCTGACTTCAGGTGATCCACCCGCCTTGGCCTCCCACAGTGCTGAGATTACAGGTGTGAGCCACTGCGCCTGGCAACATTCTCTTTTAAAAAAAAAAAAAACAACTTTATTTCTAGCCTCAACCATTTATACTTTGCATGAGAAAGAATATTAATTAAGTGGAATTGTTATTCCAGTGATCTTGTGCAAATGTGAAAAATAGTTACCTCCCCCCCCAAAACAAACCTCAAAATCCTACAAACTCAATTGTATTTAAGTACATAACATACAAGTACTATTTAGCCAGAACCAGCTTTCCCATCACACTGTTGTGAATATTTGTTGCTAGCTGTTATGGTTGTAAGTGACCACAGGAACAACTGATGGATTACCTAATGCTTGACTAAATATAGCCAGCCCTTGGTTGTGGATTTTGTTGAAGTCTGTGGAGTCCATCTTTGGGGTTTCTCTAACTTTTGAAGTCATTAGGGCAGAGTATATTTATTTACTTTTATCCAAGCAAAGTCTTGCTCTGTTGCTCAGGCTGGAGTGCAGTGGCATGATCTTGACTCACTGCAATCTCTGCCTCCTAGGTTCAAGCAATTTTCCTGCTCCAGCTTCCCGAGTAGCTGGGATTACAGGTGCCCGCCATCACGTCTGCCTAATTTTTGTATTTTTAGTAGAAACAGGGTTTTACCATGTTGGCCAGGCTGGCTGATCTCCATTGCCTGACTCAAGTGATCCTCCTGCCTGGGCTTCCAAGTGTTAGGGTTACAGGCATGAAGCCACTCTGCCTGGCCTGTCTAATCTTTATTATGCCTCCTCTCTTTAGAGATACCTAGTCTGTTTTTCAGAACTAAACCAATCTGGAACTCCCTGGCTCTCTCTCCTAAAACTCTGAAGTCTAAAGGACTCTGTCTCCTGAGGACTCTTTAAGAAAAGCTGTTCAGCTAGCTGTGACAGTTTGGGAAGCAGTTTTTCCTGATTGAATACCTAGGCCTCAGTAGGAAAAAGAACAAACTGAAATTGCTAATTTGTAAGCCTGGTCTTTTGAGCAGCTCAGTTAAAATGCTTGGCGGAGGACTTTAGTGAAAGGCTAGAGTGGGCTTGGGAATCATTTGTCTTCAAAGCCCCCTGTTAATATAGGTAAATCAGTTCGATGTGTTGGCACCCATCTTTATTTCCAGCTATTCAGGAACCTGAGGTGGGAGGATCGGTCAAGCCTAGGAATTTGAGGCTGCAGTGAGATATGATAGTGCCACTGCACTCTAGCCTGAGCAACTGAGGGAGACCCCAATTCTTTTTTTTATTTGAGACGGGGTTTCACCATGTTATCTATAAGGCTGGTTTCAAACTACTGAACTCAAGCATTCTGCCTGCCTTGGCCTTCCAAAGTGCTAGGATTACAGGTGTGAACCACCGTGCCCTGCTGAAACCCCAGTTCTTAAAAAAAAAATAAAGGAGTTGGGGCTGGGCACTGTGCCTCACACCTGTAATCCTAGTACTTTGGGAGACTGAGGTGGGTGGATCATGAGGTCAGGAGTTCAATACTAACCTGGCCAACATGATGAAACACCATCTCTACTAAAAATACAAAACTTAGTCATGGTGGTATGTGTCTATAATCCCAGCTACTTAGGAGGCTGAGGCAGGAGAGTCGCTTGAACCCAGGAGGCAGAGGTTGCAGTGAGCCGAGATTGCACCATTGCACTCCAGCCTGTGCAACAGAGCAAGACTCCATCTCAAAAAAAAAAACAAAAGAAAACAAAACTTTTTTTTCTTGAGATGGAGTTTTACTCTTGTTGCACAGGCTGGAGTGCAATAGCGCGATCTTCGCTTACCACAACCTCCACCTCCCAGGTTGAAGTGATTCTTCTGCCTCAGCCTCCCCTGTAGCTGGGATTACAGGCATGTGCCACCACGCCCAGCTAGTTTTGTATTTTTCTTTTTTTTTTTTTTTTTTTTTTTTTTGAGACGGAGTTTCGCTCTTGTTACCCAGGCTGGAGTGCAATGGCACGATCTCGGCTCACCGCAACCTCCGCCTCCTGGGTTCAGGCAATTCTCCTGCCTCAGCCTCCCGAGTAGCTGGGATTACAGGCACGTGCCACCATGCCCAGCTAATTTTTTGTATTTTTAGTAGAGACGGGGTTTCACCATGTTGACCAGGATGGTCTCGATCTCTCGACCTTGTGATCCACCCGCCTCGGCCTCCCAAAGTGCTGGGATTACAAGCTTGAGCCACCGCGCCCGGCCTAGTTTTGTATTTTTATTAGAGATGGAGTTTCTCCATGTTGGTCAGGCTGGTCTCGAACTGCCAACCTCAGGTGATCCGCCTGCCTTGGCCTCCCATAGTGCTGGGATTATAGGCGTGAGCCACCGTGCCTGGCCTAACATTTTTTAAAATTAAAATATAGGGCCTGTGGCTCACACCTGTAATCCCAGCACTTTGGGAGTCCGAGGCTGGCGGATCACGAGGTTAAGAGATTGAGACCATCCTGGCTAACATGGTGAAACCCTGTCTCTACTAAAATACAAAAATTAGCTGAGCATAGCGGCATGTGCCTGTAGTACCAGCTACTTGGGAGGCTGGGGCAGGAGAATTGCTTCAACCTGGGAGGTGGAGGTTGCAGTAAACTGAGATTGCGCCACTGTACTCCAGCCTGGCACCTGACAACAGCGAGACTCTCTCAAAAAATAAAAAATAAAATGTAGTTAACTCATTCTCCTTTCTGCCAGGGGAACAGTATGCTGGTTAAATGTTTCAGTAGGAAGTGTATAAATAGGCTGGGCTTGGTGGCTCACACTTGTAATCCCAGCATTTTGGGAGGCCGAGGAGGGCAAATTACTTGAGCCAAGGAGTTTGTGACCAGCCTGTGCAACAGGGTAAAACCCTGTCTCTAAAAAAAAAAAAAAAAAAAAAAGTAGCTGGGCATGGTGGGAAGTTACAGCTACTTGGGAGGCTGAGGTAGGAAGACTGCTTGAGCCTGGGAAGTGGAGGTTGCAGTAAGTTGAGATCACACACTGCACTCCAGCCTAGGCGACAGAGTAAGACCCTGTCTCAAAAAAAAAAAAAAAACTATTTAAAAAGTATAGAAAGTATTAATAGAAAACAAATTCTGAATAAACCTCATCATTGTAAGAATATAAATGCACAGCGGGGCACCGTGGGTCACGCCTGTAATCCCAGCACTTTGGGAAGCCAAGGCGGGCAGATCATGAGGTCAGGAGTTGAACCAGCCTGGCCAACATGGTGAAACTTCATCTCTACTAAATATACAAAAATTAGCCAGGCATGGTGGTGCGTGCCTGTAATCCCAGCTACTCAGGAGTCTGAGACAGGAGAATTGCTTTAACCTGGGAGGCAGAGGTTGCAGTGAGCCGAGATTGTGTCATTGCACTCCAGCCTAGGCAACAGAGCGAGATTGTCTCAAAATAAATAAATGCAGCCGGGCGCAGTGGCTCAAGCCTGTAATCCCAGCACTTTGGGAGGCCGAGGCGGGTGGATCACGAGGTCAAGAGATCGAGACCATCCTGGTCAACATGGTGAAACCCCGTCTCTACTAAAAATACAAAAAAATTAGCTGGGCATGGTGGCACGTGCCTGTAATCCCAGCTACTCAGGAGGCTGAGGCAGGAGAATTGCTTGAACCCAGGAGGCGGAGGTTGCGGTGAGCCGAGATCGCGTCATTGCACTCCAGCCTGGGTAACAAGAGTGAAACTCTGTCTCAAAAAATAAAAATAAAAAAATAAAAATAAATAAATAAATGCAAAAAAGGTAAAATGCTAGTGGCTTTGAAAACAAAATTCAGACATACTTGCATAGCTTAAGGTAAATTGAAGTAATAGGTAATGTATGAGAGTTACTTATGACTAGATATTTGTATATTTTAAGTCTGGACTGAATTTGTTTTCTACAACATACTTTTTCTGATGATAAATGCATTTCTAGTCCTTCCAAGATTCATTTAATAAATATCATTTTTCTAATATTAGAGGAAATAATATTTTTATAGTTGAATCCCTTTTTAAAAATTATTTTATTTATTTATTTATATTAAAGATGGGGGTTTCACCCTGTTGGTCAGGCTGGTCTTGAACACCCGACCTCAGGTGATCCACCCGCCTTGGCCTCCGAAGTGCTTGGATTACAGGCGTGAGCCACCATGCCCAGTAGTTGAATCCCTCTTAAAGAAGAGGGTCCAGTATCAGAGATGATCACTGCTGCATCCTATAGTGCAGTCAAAATGAGGCTTCAGCTCTGCACTGTAAAGCCAGAGGGCACTGTTGCTGCCTTTCCAAGCAGCTGTTTTTCTGGGGCTGCTGCATGACGTCATAGCAGAAGAAAAATTAAAAACACGACGAAAACTATTTCAAAATAAACGTTTAATATAGTTTTCAGACCAAAGAAAAACACGATCATACATTGTCTCCAGTGGACTATATGTGCCAGAACAGGACCAACTCAGTCCAGCTTTGAAGGCCCTGGTTCAGTCCTACTGGTTTAATCTCCCTTGATTTACTGATTTGTGTATCCTTCTTATGCATCACAAGATGCATTTTACTCTTGAAGTCCGTCACCTCCATCATCGCCATTTAACTGCAAAAGCATGCTTATCCTGATGGGAGGGTTTTCTTCCTCCTTCCCTGCAGGGGTTCTTATGCTTCAAGGAGTGTGACAATCCTATGAATCTCTTGAACCTTCTCCCTAGAAAAATGTACATATAACACAAGTCTACAAATAATTTTGTGGGGTTCATGGACCCCCAAGGCCCACAATGGTTTCTAAGGCCCCCAAGTTAAGGAACTCCTATGCTAGTGATTTGAGCAATGCAGTTACCCTTGGGCAGGTGAAGGGCTGGGTTAACTGAAGTGACAGGAGGGAATAATCTCGTAAATTCTATTTTGATTCTGGGGCAAAAATTGGTTATTAGGGCCTTCCTGCATTTAAGAGCAGAACTACTCAAGAACCTAAGCAGCGATCAGCATAATTTAGGCAATTTAGAATAGGGCTGTGCAAGGGAATGCACAGGGTTCCTCATTCAGCTGAGGACCTCATTTAGCTCCTTAACTGGAAGCTTTACATTTGATCTGCAGTGAGGGGACATTTCTAATTTTAGTTTGACCCACATGGAAAGGTGGATGGCTCCTATTCCTTTTTTTTTCTTTCTTTCGCATAGAGAGCACTTAAGTATCAGACAATTAGGGTAAGTCCTTGGTATCCCCCAAACAGCCATTTCCATTGCAAATCCAGTATTTCCCACCTCTGAACATTTTAACGAGCTGCCCAACAAATTAACCATTACTTGCACTAATACGTTTGCCAAGAGCCTCTTCCAGCCTTATGGGGCCTGGGGGGTGGGCTGGAAGAGATGACAGAAAACCAACTTGTTAGGAATGAAATGGGGCTGTCAGTTGTCTAATCTAACAAACTGCCAAATTAGGTTTACATTTTTTGTTTTTAGGCTTTTGAATGGGCGAGGGAGTTAAATTTAAAATTTCAGATTGTAGCCACTTTCTACTCACCTAAACACTCAACACTGGTTTGTTTATTTTTCCAGCATCAAGAAAGAAAACCAAGGCACTAGAAAGCAAGCACACTTAAGTACTGAAGATAATTAAATCTTTATATTTTGCCTGAAGTGTATATTGTAGCATAAACTCATTCAAGGAAAAAATTGGCAAATTGAAATTCTCCCATTAAAAATTGTTTTTGCAAACTGACAAATTTAGCGATTTCAGTAGTACCCCTCCCCAGAATGCAGTCACATAAGTCAATATTATTTTGAATTAGCTCTAGAAATCACACTGAAACTGTTACATTTACAAATATTAAATTTATTATAACTAAAATGAATTTAATTGTTCTCAGATTTGGCCACCTTATAGCTCCGTTTGAGGAGGGGATTTTTTTTAAAAACAAAAACGCATTATAACTTGGTCAGATTACTTTCACATTAAGAAAAAAACTAAAAAGAAAAACAAGAAAAGCAACTCTTCAGTTTCACATAATTAAAGAACAGGAGAAAGCACGCAAGCTACATCATAGCTAGATTTACGAAACCAACCAAAGCCAGGGGGATTTCTCTTCTGATTATGTGTCATAAAAAGGTCCACTGTCTTATATACACATGTATATAATGTTACATTCCATCACTGTAAAAAGTCCCCTTTGCCCCCTCCCCCAAAAAGTTTCCGTCTAGTCTCCAAACTTGGAAAGTGGCGCTCGCTCCTGCTGCCGGTGCAGTTCGTTCTCGGTCAGCAGCTGGAGGTTCTCAGCGCGCAGCCGGTCCAGCTCCAGCTCCAGCTCCCGCACACGCGCGTCGTCGCCTCCCAGGCGCTTGCTCTCCAGCCGCAGCCGGTTGTTCTCGTCCTCCATGCGCGAGAGGCACTTCTCCAGCTCCAGGTACTCCTTGATGAGCTCCTGCTTGCTCATGTTCTGCAGGCTCTCCGTGTGGTACCGCTCGTATGTCTCCGAGAAGTCCCGCTGCAGAAACTCGCTGCCGTCCCCTCCCATCCCGTCGCTGCCCCCATCCTCCTCACCCCCTTCTTCCATGAAGTCGTCATCGCTGGTGTCGTCGGATTTGGCGGCGGCCCGCTTGGAGTACAGACCGGTTTTGAGATCCGGCTCCTCCTGGTCGTGATCATCCATGAGAAACTGCGTGGTGTTATAGGGCGCGACGGGCTGGCCCTTTGCGAACATCTCGGCTCGGATCCTCGAAGCTCGCAGACTCTGTTTCTCGTCGAACTTTTTCTTCTCCTCCCAGGTCAGCTTGTAGTACGGTTTCCAATGCCGCTTCTTTTTGGACGGGCGTCTCCTATGTTTTTTCTTGCCCAGCTGTCTCTGCTGCTGTCCCCACTCCTCTTTGCCCCCTTCGACAAGAGCCCCCAACTTGTTGGACTCGGAGTCATGACCAGGCTGGGCAAGCAGCTCGGCCTCGGGCATCGGTTCCCCTTCTGCCGAGGGCGGGAAGTCGCCGCCAGCGGACGAGTCGTCCCCATTCTGGCCCTTCTCTCCCTCTCTCGGGCAGCTGGATTCTGGACAGGCCTGGGTCTGCAAGGGAGGTGGCTGGGACTCCAGGCTCCCTTCCCCCTCCGGCCCCGGACGGCCACCCAACTGGGGGAACGCTCTCGATTGCCACCTACTGTCCTCCTCGGGCACCCGCTCCTCCGCGCCTGGGGGGCGCTCAGGGTTCAGCTCTTCCTGGACAGCAGCAGCACCTGTACAGTTGCTAGTTTGAGGCTGGTGTTGATATTCTGACAAGAACGGCTCGGCCATGGCTAGTAGAGTCCTCGAAGTTTGAGAAATTTTGGCTAGTAAGTCCTTTAGGGAAAAAATGGGTTGTTCTTAAAAAAAAAAAAAAAAAAAAAAAAAAGTCCAACAGAGTCCTCTTCAGTTTGTAGTTACTGCAGTGACGCCTTTAGCCAGTCCTTCTATCGGCAAACTCCAATAGCAATCTAGGGAGCTCAAGTCAGTAAAGGGTTAAGCGCCCACAGTGCGGCCAGCTAGCGGGTCCAAGGGGGTGCAGCGGCAGGAACAGTACGTAATGTGCGGAGGTGGGCCTCAAACCTCCAAGCGGAGCACCCCAACAATAAAGGAGTTGGTGAGCAAGGTGATGAGGGTAAGTCCACTGGGTGAAACCCAGCCCCGAAGGGGTTAAAACTACCGATGACGCTGCCTCCGAGGGGCAAGATCCATAAAGGGTTAAATCCCCTGCCGCAGAGCCCACAAGGGGTTAAAGTCCTGGAGTCACCTCCTCCCACTTCCACGGGTGTCGCTTCAACCCAAGCTCCCAGTTCCCTAGGCCCGGCCGGAGCCTCAGCAGAGGACAGACAAACTCATCTCCCCTTTGGCTCGATGCTCTGCTCTGCTCAGTTCTCCTCCGCCTCCTCCTCTTTTCCTCCCTCCCTCCTCCCCCTTCCCACAGCTCCTCTTCCGCCTCCTCCCCCGACTTTCCCCTCTCAACCTGCCTCTCCACCTGCCAACTTCCAACTGCTGCCTCCCAGCCCTCTGCGCCTCTTTTATATAGAAGCGGGTTCGCTCCGCCCATGCGCATGCGTAACAGAGTTTGCATCGTGGGGAGCCGGGAGTCGTAGTTCTTATCTTTCAGGCCCGCCGTCCTCGCGCGCCGTGCGACGTAGCCAATCCCAGAACGCGTAGGGGGCGTCACCCAGGCTGCCTCCTTCCATCGCTTAGCCTTCGTTAAAGAAACGCGAGTGACCATTGGTCAAAAGTCACAAGACTCGCTGAAGAAGGATAGCCAATCGCAGAGAAGATGGGGCGGGTTCTGGACCGTACCATTCTGTTTCTGGAATACGAGAAGATTCGATGGCCTGTGAGAATGCACACAGAATATTTTTATGAAAAGGTGCGTTATAAAGGCTATTATCGTATTCTGTTTTCTGCGGAAGGGTTCCGAAGGTTATGAACCTTTATTAACTAACGCAAGAATGGTTTATTCCTAAAAAGTAGTCCCTAAAATGTAAAAGAATTAAATTCTATAAAGAGAGATGTCGGCCCACGGTTGCTTACTCGCGAGTCTTAAGATTACAGAAACGGCTTCAAGGCGAGTGGTGAGTGCCTGAGACTGACACTTGCGGAAGGATATCGCGAGTACATTTTGTTAAAAACGAAAAGCGCACGAAGAAGTAAACAAATGAAGAATAAAAAGTGCCGCCTTAAAGGGACAGTGTGACTGCCTTTAGTGCAGCAGGCTCGCACTAGGCCTCGGAAGACGAAAGGGCGGGTTCGAGTCCCGGTGACGCCGACCCCCGGACTGGCCTCGGGACCCTTAGGTGAAGGTGGCCGAGTCCCAGCCTCAGCCTGGTCTTTAAAAGCCACCCCGCCCCAGGGGCCAATGCAGACTGGTTATTCGCGGCCAAGCCTCTTCCCTGGGCCGAGATCGGAAAGCGCGGGTGGAGGGAAGCGGGGTGAAGGCCTCGCCCCCAGGCCTCAGCTTCTGTCGAAGAAAATGGCCTCCTGGGGCCGATTTGGTCTTTTCACTTCCGACTGGGATCATTTCCTGAGCCGGGATAGGCGAGGTCCGGGCCGGCCATGAGGCTGTTTGTTGGGGAGGGATTCGGTATGAATACTGAATTGAAATCATCAGCCCTGGCTATGCGAGAGGGAAGCAGGTCTAATCCGCAGAGGCCCTTCTTCCTCAGTGGGCACTGGGCAAGACTGGGAGGGAAGCATGAAGGAGACCTTGGCCCTAAACTTGCGGCAGGGGATTCTGGCGCAGGGCTGGAGGGCCGATTTTCCCTGGGGCGTAGTTTCTCAGAGATAAATTCTCCAGACTCAAGCCCCCAGCCCTCCAAAAATGGACTGAGAGGACCAGGAGAACCCTCCATACCAGTCACCAGGGCCTAAAGCGCCCTTTCCACTTCTCCCTTGCCACACGCCCAGTAACCCTTTCTTCTTACTGCTTCCTTAATAGCATCCCTGACATTCCAGCCCGTTTGCACTGTGCACCTTTTACGCACAGAGCCATGTGACCTCACCACAGCCTGGCGAGTTAGGCACGATAGGAATGACTGTCTCCATTTTACAGATAAGGCATCTCTAAGACGACAGAAAATAAGTGACTTGTCCAAGGTCACATGATAACCAAGGGGCAGTCCTGGCTAGAGAGCTTGGGTCTTTGTGACCTCCCCATGCCATTTTACTTTGTCACAAACACAAAACCCTGTTTTTTCTTAAAATCGGGAAAACTGGATTTCGTTCTTTTCATTCCTAACAGCCTCAAACTTATTCAGCCTCTCTATCATTTGGCAGACAGGTGGGTACAAAGAGAGTTGGGATGCCATCCTTGCCTTCACATTGCTCATGGACTGTGGAGAGGCCATCAGACCACAGCCAGCCAAAATGGCAAGTGAGGGAAATCCTGGTGGGAGCTGATGAGCTGAGTGCGTGGGAGTTGGGAATTGTGGATAGGTGTCAGGAGCAAGTGACTTACTGGCTGGCTCTGAAGGATGAAGAGCGTTCAGGCAAACTGGCATGAAAGGGCACTTTAGGAAGACCAAGCATCATGTGCCAGGTAGGGACTAGTCTGAGACCTTGGTGGCTCTGGGCAGTATGAGATACGGGGTCAGGGGCCAGTGGTGATGGGCACAGTCAGTGGAGATGCCTCCAAAGGGAGTCGCAAGCACGTGGGCCTCTGGGTACAGCTAGATGTTCTGAAAATCAACACCCTGGTTTGTTTTCTCTGGGCTTCCAAGAACTCGGGTCCACCTGAAAAGCTCCCCGCTCCGTATGCCTTCATCCCTTAGGAGGCTTCCTGAGAGCAGGAACTGCTCCTCAGAGCGCTCCTAGAGGAAAAGGGGTTTTTGCAGAGAACTTGGTTATCAGAGATCTCCAAATTGTTACCACATCTTCAGACTCCAGGGGATTCTGGGGTACTCCCAGTTAGGGCATTTGGAGGGTACAGCTGAGCCCAGCCTCAGTGTCCTGGACGGGGCTCCACTTATGGTCTCATTTGTCATATTAGGGGAGGAGTGGACAGACGAATAGGTTGTGGAATTCTTTTTTTTTTTTTTTTTTTGAGACGGAGTTTCGCTCTTGTTACCCAGGCTGGAGTGCAATGGCGCGATCTCGGCTCACCGCAACCTCCGCCTCCTGGGTTCAGGCAATTCTCCTGCCTCAGCCTCCTGAGTAGCTGGGATTACAGGCACGCACCACCATGCCCAGCTATTTTTTTTGTATTTTTAGTAGAGACGGGGTTTCACCATGTTGACCAAGATGGTCTCGATCTCTTGACCTTGTGATCCACCCGCCTCGGCCTCCCAAAGTGCTGGGATTACAGGCTTGAGCCACCGCGCCCGGCCGTTTTTTTTTTTTTTTTTTTTTTTTTTTGAGACAGAGTCTCGCTGTGTTGTCAGGCTGGCGTGCATTGGCATGATCTTGGCTCACTGCAATCTCCGCCTCCCGGGTTCAAGTGATTCCCCTGCCTAAGCCTCTAGAGTATCTGGGATTACAGGCGCGCTCCACCATGCCTAGCTGATGTCTGTATTTTTAGTAGAGACGGGGTTTCACCATGTTGGTCAGTATGGTCTCTGTCTCTTGACCTTTTGATCCACCAGCCTCAGCCTCCCAAAGTGCTGGGATTACAGGCGTGAGCCACCGCACCCAGCCTGAATTCTAGGCTTCCGTCAAGGGGCCAGGCAACCTTACTATTAGCTGGATTTTAACCCTTTGCCAGGCATTTAACGTGCCCTATCACTGCTAAACCCCAGGACTGCTTTATGACGAAGAGATCAACCGTATTTCACAAACAAGGCCACCCAAGCTCAGAGCAGTTAAGAATCTTGCCCATGTTCCACAGCTACTGTGAAAGTGGTGGAGCTGGCTTCAGCACCCCCCTCCCCACCTGCTTCCCCCACCAAGGTGGCCCTGCGTGGTGCGTCCTGCTTGCTGCAGTCCAGCCTTATCACAGGGGCTGTTCAGCCTGTGCCTGTGACCCTGGCCTGAGCCATGCAGAGCAGCACCGGCTAGCCTCAGGGATGCCTTCCCAGCTTGGAGAGGAGGGACGACCAGAGTGGCTGTGGCTTCCGGTAGGGCCAATGACGGCCAAGCCTGGGGCGGTGGTCAAGACTAGGAGCTGACAGGGAACTCAGGAATCAGAACTGCCTCTTGCCCACCCAGTGGTAGGAAGGTCCTAGGGCCCAGGTGGTAGCAATGGCAGGGGGCTCCATTGCTGGAGGGGACTCCTCCTGGCCAGGTGACTTGGAGGCTCTGACACCAGGCGGCGCTTAGAGCAGCCAGTTTCGCCATTGAATAATACGGGCCGGGCCGTGGCTTGAGCCAGGGTGGCCCAGGGACGACAGGGCTGGTGCTGACAGGGAGGCCAAGGCCTCTGGCCTGTGCCTCCGGGAGGGCAATGCACATGCAGGCGCTCGACCCACCCCTACGAGGGTTTCCAAGCGCGCAGGGCCCTGCCCCCTACTCAGGGCGGGGCGAGGACGAGGCTCTCGCTGGGCCTTGGCCTTCCAGAAAATTCCCTGGGAAGGCCCAGGCCCGGAGGTCAAGGTGGGGCACCGAGAACCGGCAGCTGAGGAGTGGGCAGCGGATACATCTGGGGTCAGGGACTTCGAACCCCATCCCTACGCTGGCGGTGCAGGGCTGGGGCAGCCGCCGTCCCCTTCGGGCAAGGGCCGAACCAGCTCCCCGGCCCCGCCCAGCCGTGTTCGTCTCCTCCCCACCGCCCCCCAGCTCGCTGGATCCCGCGTCCCCGACGGGGCGGCGGGCAGGGACTCGCTCTCGGCCAACCCCTCGGTCCCGCCCTCCCGAGGGCGCCCCCCTCCTGGCCCGGGCCGCCTTTGGTTACCCTCCCACTCCCCTCCACACCGAGGCCTGTTTTCCCCTTCGCTCGCCGGGGAGGAGGGAAAATATTCCTCATTCATAAATACCAACCGCCGGACTCCTTCAGGGCCATCAAGGGGGCACTGGGTGGGGAGCAGAAAAGGGACTTGGGCCTCGCGCGTTCCCGGCCCCTCTTCCCGCTGCCTCCGTGGGGGACCAGACAGCAGAAGATTGTGGATTTTTTGTATTTAGCGAAACATTCGTTTGTAAGTGAATCTTCAATGAAGACGTTCCTGAGAGTGTGTGGGGGCACCGGGGGCCAGCAGGGGAGGAAGGCGAGCAAAATCTGCGCTCACGCCCCTCTCCCGGGGCCTGCTCACTACTCCCAACTGGTCCAGGCCTCCTGGCCTCCCTCCCGCAGCCTCCCAATCATTCTTCCAGGCCCCGGCCCAAGTCCCAACTTGCCCAACAGCTGAACCTCCGCGGGGAGACGCAGGGGTGGGAAGAGAGTCAGGTGACCCAGAGGATGGGGAGGGCAGGGGCTGAGACCCAACAGCCCCGCCCCCTGTCACGGCCAACCCAGCACCGGGACTGGACGTGCACCACAACTGCAGCCTCCCAGGAGAGCCTGGGGTGGTTGCGGCGGGGAGGGAAGGAAGCGTCCTGTGAAGCTGTAAGGAGGGGTGGGTCTTATTTGACCGCTCCCCGCTTTAGAGGAGGAGGTGAGAAGGCAAACACTGACGGGAGGGGGAATTTTGAAGGCTGTTCTTCTAAAGCCTAGGAAGGCTCAGGGCACACCGAGATGGTCTCAGTTGGCTGCAGAGACCCCTCCACTGACAGTCACCTCTTTTGGGTCCGCAACATTCGGAAGAGCCACTGGACGACGAAGGGCCACAGGAGGAAGAAGAGCAGCGCAGGACCCGGGAGCCCAAGGGGCCATGGCTGAGCACTGGGCCTGGGCTGTGGCCTCTGCAGGCGAGAGGGAGGGAGTCAGAGACCAGTCCAGGCCTCAGCACAGCCCTCCCTAGGAACCTGCTTCCAGCTCAGGGGGAGATTGAGAAGACCCTGCCCCTGAGTCTGCACCACTAGAAGGGAAGTGGCCCGCAGGGTGGCCCTGACGGGTTGCATGCCAACTCCCTCCCACATCTCCCTCCCCAGGGCAATCCCAGTGTCAAGAGAGGCTGGAGGGGCTGTGGGTAGAGACAGCGGCTTCTCTGCCGTCTTCTCTGGGCCACAAAGCAATGGCCGTTGGTGTGACCCGAAGACCCTGTGTTGTAAAGGATGTGCCGCATATTTCAAATGAGGACCCTGGGTACCCAGATTTTAGTTTCCAAGTGTGGTTCTTCACTAAAAAGGAGCCAAGGCTTCTTGGAGAAGTGGCTGATTCCAGGTCTAGGGCAGGGAAGGTGGGAGTGAATGTGGGCGCCTTGTATCAGAAAAGCAAGGTCTTTCTTAAAGAGTCATCAGATCGTGGTAAGAGAACACAGGACCCGGCTTGGAAGGGTCTCAGAATGGCCCAAGTTGTGACTGAACATCAAAAAGAATGACTGTGGCTCGTGGGAATACT